GATGCTGGAAGGCCCATTTTCCATTCCAGCGTGGCATTTGACTATTTGCAAAGCTGCCTTTCTGTTTGTTCTCATGTGAGTTACTTATTGGCTGTCATAGGCCAGTGTTCAATTTATTTAAATTGAATGAATAAGTACATTAGGAAGAGCTGTCAAGAGAAGAGAGAATGAGAGGCACGCTAGGATGAGTGATAAGTCAACAAGCTGCAAGGGAGATTCACTGAAGAAGTGAACAAATCAAACCACTAAAGAGAGAAAGAGAGGTGCCAAAGTGGCAGGAGTCTGGTGGCAGTTAAGCTACAGAGCTTCGTGTAAATAAGACCCACCAACCATAATCTATTGGCCATGAAGCAACATTTGTTCTATATGTTTCTTACTCAGACTGAAGTTAGTAATTTAATTAGAAGTGCTTTAAAGGGGACACAGAGATGTATTATAAGATATAAGTCACTGGGTTATTATCAAACACAGATTTAGGAGCTGTGTAAACCACTAGATATTGTATTGCTTTGGACAGTATTTCTCAAACTTCTGATACATGTGGGTTGTGTGTGTGTGTGTGTTTCTCTGTCTCTGTCTCTCTCTCTGTGTAAGGAAATCTTCACTGACACATCCCCTCAATTATTATTTTAGAAGTTTTAAGAAGAGAAATCACCAACCAGTCCCTGCATTTTGGCCAATGGTGGATCTGTCTTTCAAATCCTTTTCATCCCCTGAGAAATGTGAAAAATCTAGCAATTTGAGGGGTGGACAAAAATATCATTCTAAGACCCTTTCTCTAACATCTTACCTTTTGCACTAACCCTGGTAAAGCTGCTCCCAGCATGGAGTTGTGTGCTGTTGTGTGCCTACAAACCATTTCCAACTTCTGGTGACCCTATAATAAGATTTCCTTGTTCAGAGGTGGTTTGCCTTTATCTTCCTCTGAGGGCAAGAAGTGTGTGACTTCCCCAAGGTTACCCATTGGTTTTCCATGGCTGAGAGGGGAACTGAAACCTGATCTCCAAAATATTAGTCCAAGTCTCAAAGCACTGCACCACACAGGTTCTACCAGTGACACATATTTTAAAACTGAGATTGTTCCAGATTAGACATTAGGCATTATTGTTATTACGTGCTTTCATATCAGCTCCAATTTTTGGCAACCCTGTCTAAGGGGAATATTTATTCAGAGGAGATTTGCCATTGCCTTCTTCTGGGGCTGAGAGAGTATGACTGGTCCAGGGTCACCCAGTGGGTTTCTATGGCTGAGCAGGTATTTGAAACCTGGTCTCCCTGGAGTCCTAGTCCAACACTCAAACCATTACAACACACAGGCTCTTGATAGTGTGTGCCATGTTGTGCATATGGTGACACAATATGTAAATCAGAGTGTAGCTTACAGATTTCCCTGTGATCACTCTTTTAGCCCTGCCAGGACTAGATTACAGTAATTTCTGCCAGTGATATGCATCTATGATTGTCTTGACTGATATGTTTTATTCTGTGATGGAGTCCCTGAAGATGATTCTCATTGTTGCTTGCATTGGAGCATACACATATATACACATATACTCCAAAGTATGTGAGTTAAAATAGTGATTAGTTTTGTGGAGAATGTTTATCCTCTAAAGCCACCTCTTCCTTGCATTTGACAGAACCATTTTCTTTCTCCAAACAGTTTACATTTCTGATTCCAGCATTATCTTCCTTGCCAAACCCACTAGTGTTCCTCTTACTTTGAGGCCCTTCTAGTCTAAATACAACTGTATTTATTTATATGCATCTACAAGCACTACATGATATATATCTGCCTGTCTGTCTGTCCACCTGCCAGCAGGTGTGGGCTGAGTGCAGCATAGGAATTTCATGCAACCTAGGGCTGCAATAATTCTCTTCCAGAAAACTGGGACAATAGTATATGGGACTGGATTGGGTGAATTATCACAAAAACCACCCCACAAACACACATTTTCACATTCTATTTAACATTGTTTTATTGCATATTTCAGTTGTATTATTATTAACATATTATCTCCATCCTCGTCAAATCAGCACATAGAAAAAAAATCAAAAATTATTCTGAATCAAGACATTAATTAACTAATTAATGAAAGTTCACCTAATCTCCTCTCCCCCTACCCTGGACTTACAAACAATTGGAAGACAGGCAAACTGAAACAAAAATCAAGAGGTGGGATTTGCCATGGAGGGGAGTCTTCTCAAGAATGACCACAAGAGATCCCAATTGAAAGGAAAAGGCCACAACTTTATTAATAACAGCTGTAATGTAGGGTTGGCCTGCAAAGCTATTGGTCTGGTTCTGTTATCAACCAATCCCCTGATTGATTGATGAACCCATTTGCTTGGTCATGGCCAAGTTTCAGGATGACAATCTGGGTATAAGTTCAGAATGACAAAAACAACTGACAAAAGCAGCAACAACCCTCTTCTTCCCTCACTAGCAAAAAGAAAGAAAGAAAGAAAGAAAGAAAGAAAGAAAGAAAGAAAGAAAGAAAGAAAGAAAGAAAAGAACAGCCTGCAGCTGCTGGAGGACAAAAAGAAAGGAAGGCATCAAGGTTTCACTTTCACAGCATGACTCTTCCTCTTTGTAGTCAAGCAGAGGGGAAGATAGAAAAGAGAAGCCGGGTGTTATACTTTCACCTCCTCCACTTCCTTAAGCAGAAGGAAAGGTCAGATAAAAGAGAGCTTGTCCCAGGATTGAGGCAAGGCAAATCCAAGTATGGAAAGGCTGTGCTTATGCTTGGCTAGCCTTTGGCTTGTGGATAAGTTTGGCTTCCCTCCCATCTGCACACTACAGTGAGAGAGGAATCTGGGATATGCTGCTTCAACAGGCCCAACTGGCCAGGACCTTTTTTATAAAGACCCTTTAATCCATGTTTTTCCCAGTTTCCCGGAACAAATGGCAAGCCTATTGCAGCTCCCAAGCCTTTTGTTGTTGTTCTTCGCAGACTCTTTCTGGATTTTCACAACAATATCACTTCTACTGTATAGCTCATCACACCTAGTTCCCAACATTTTATGGCAGGCAAATTGTCTAAGCAACTCTGGATATTTTCTCCTGAAATCATGCAGGAAAGACAGTTAACACAGCAAACACACACACACACACACCTATTTCTTTTCAAAACTACAATTGGACTTCCACCCACTTTTGAGTTTTGTTTTGTTTTTTTCTATATATTTGTAGATATATAGAATGTATGCATTAAAAAATGCCCCAGCTGTATCTACGTGACAAATGCAGAACATTCCTCTGGAATTTTCTATAAGCAAATTTTACACAGCATAAAGTTAGTCAAATCAATGTTTTACTGTAACAGAGGGCTCTGCATATGCAAGGATAGCCATGTTGACCATGTAGCAACATACAATTATGTCAAAAATCTAGAAAACAGCAATACTTTTATTGGGCCAACCAAAATGCTCTGCAGTTTAAGCCATGGTATCCTTTTTTGAGGAATAATTATTTGACTGAGGAGATATGGATTGCCTTTTCTAAATCAGTCAATAGAAATGTCATCCCACTTGGAAAATGTACTACAATGCAGTGAAGTGAGGAAGGAATAGGAACCATCTTCTCTGATATGAATCTTCTAGTCTTTAATGTCATCCAGTGAGGTACCAGTCCTGCTATCTTCACTCATGGCCACCAACACTGCACAGATGGAAACTGGGACATGTCTGCACAATTGTGGGGAGTGCTGTAATTCAAAGGGGATCTCCCTAACAAAAAATCATTCTTAACTGGCAGGGTTTTCTCCTTTCCTTTGCTTTTTACAAGGTGACTTTATTCATTTTGCTTTTATCAAGAAGCAATTTCAAGGGCTGCAACACAAGATGTTCTACTTCAAAGTGAGAAGAGATTATAATCATTTGCTTTTGCCTGAGCCTACTGGAATGAACAAGACTCCACTCCCTCTTCTCTCCTTCCTGCTGGGTTGAAAGTAAACTGACTTTGGTTTAACTCAGTCTGCAGCAATTGAAGTATGCTGAAGCCAAGTGGGCGGAGGAGAGAGAAACTAGGCATTTTATTAGCAACCAAGAAAGTAGGACAGCAGAGGATTAACAGTATGCTTCACCTCCAATATTCAGAAAGCTAAAAATTTCAGCTCTGCATGCACTTTGATGAAATACAAGCTAACAGTCACTGAGCAACAAAGAGATTTCATCAGCAGCACCTCATGTTACCACTGAAGTGTGTCCTTCCTCTGCTTGGATTGTGACCATTGGTGTTTGTGGTAGATTGCTTGATGAACATCTTAACACAATATGTGGGTGCTTTGAATAAAGCAAATTGTATGCTGACAATAATTAGAAAAAGAAATGAAAATCAAAATGTCAGCATCTATTCCCCCCCCCCCAAAAAAAATATCTATCATGTGGCCATATTTAGAATACTGTGTAGAATTCTGGTCATTGCATCTGATATTGTAAAACTAATCAAAAATCAAAAGCTACAAAAATGGCAACTAAAATGATGAAAGGGTCAAGCAACACCTCCATGAAGAATGTTTCTAATGTTTGGGGCTATTTAGCTTTGAAGGAAAAAGAAAATATGAGGAAGCATAATAAAGGTGTACAAAAGCATGCATGATAAGAATAAAATGAATGAAGAGAATTTTTTATCACTTTCTCATAATCCTAGAACCCAAAGGTGTTGTCCTCTGAAGCTGAATGACAAGAGATTCAAGAGAGATAAAAGGAAGTAGTTTTTGAACAGTATGTAGCTTGAACTGTGGTATTTAGTGCTGCAAGGTGTAGTGAGGACTACCAACTTGGCTGGTTTTACAAGGAAAACAGCCAATTTTAAAGAGGACAAGATTGCCAATGGTTACTAACCATGAAGACTCATCTATTTAGCATCTCTTCAGAAATATATCAAGTTGGATTTTTAAAATGTTCAGCCTTAGTTCTACTGTTATTGGAAGGATTAAAATAGCCACCTTTGATTATTTGAAAAACAGAAAGGCTAGATCAACAGATATACTAATAATTAAGCATGGCGTAGTGGTTTGAGCATTTGACTACAACTCTTGAGACCAGGGTTCAAATCCCTGCTTGTCCATGAAAATCCACTGGGTGACCTTGGGCAAATCACACACTCTCAGCTTCAGAGGATAGCAATGGCACACACACACACTCCAAAGAAACTTGCCATGAAAACCTTGTGATAGGTGTGCATTAGGGTCACCATATGTCAGAAATGACTTAAAGGCAAACAACACACACACAAGGTATGTATCCATTGGTGTATAAAAGCTCTGCTAGATAACCTGTAGAGCTGATGTCAGCCAGAGTAGACAGTAGTATGTGAGATAAGCAGCCTATATATTCTTATATAAGACAATTGATGTATCTATAGAGGTTCAACCTATAAAGCCTTATAAAGCCTCATGCAGCCTATATAGTCTGACTCTGTATAACAGTCTCTCCCCTTAGTTCACAACCTATGGAAAATGGGTGAAGATCTTCAGTGACTGTAGTTCAGTGCCAGAGAACATGCTTCATATGCAAAATCTCCTAGGTTAAAAGTTTGATATCTCCAATTAAATATTCATCTAGCAGGTCATAGAAAATATCTTGATGGACAAATAGTGTGTTTTTTCATAGACAAATAAATAAGGTAACATAATAAATTTATTCTTAGTACATTTTTTTCCTACTACCATATTCAGGGAGCAGGTTATTCAGTGGTTGAATGAGCTGGTTACATAGAAGACGAAGAAAATAGATGGGGAAAAAATGACCACAGACAATAAGTGCATCATCATGTTTTTGATTCCATTAATATATTGTTTGTTTGTTTGTTTGTTTGTTTAGCATTGCAGCAGGGCATCTAGGTGGGTAACTCTGCTACATCTCAAAATTGGCATTTTGAAAAGTGTGTTCTGGGAGACTAAAATAAATATTTTAATAATGTAACAGTGGACATGACTCTAAATTTTCATTCAGAACCCTTGTGATATCTTAGGGTCACAATAAGTTGGAAATGGCTTGAAGGCACACAACAACAACTCAAATCCCTAGGTCTGGATGGAGAAATCTGTCAGCTTTGCTTCCTCCCATATAGAAACTGTCCAAGTTCTTTCCAGCCTGAATATAAAGGAATTTGTACATTCTTATTAAAAAAAACAAAATGAAATGCAAAACAAAATGAAATTTTCCAGAAACAACTGAGATTGCCCAAACCACTGCATTACCCAAGGCCAGGCCAGGCCAGCTGGGAAAAAATACATAACTGGGTAGATAAGCTTACCCAGATGGCAACCTCAGAGCAGGCCTGACTGTGGCCTCTTCCCCACAACTTGATAAAGATTCATGAGTCAATAAAAGTCTGCATGCCTGAGAGCTCAGCATCTCAGCTGTATCTTATGGAAAATAAAAAGTCCCCCTTGCTCCACATCTGGTCATTTGGCAGTGCTGGGAAGGGGGAGGAGAAGGAGCAGAGAAAGAGGCCTGTACTGCAAGAGGGACTTGGCACTGCAGGATCATAAATCTGCTCCTCTTTTCTCCCATTAATTCTGAGCTATCCCTTTGTCAGGGCTGAAGCAAAAGGACACCAGTTTCAAACAGTACAACTTGTCAAGTTGCTTGGTGTGCCATAAATCATTCACAGCATCTTCTCTTTCATGTCTGCTGAGTTGGGAGATTCAGCTGACGTTTCTTAAACACTTCCACATTCGCCTGAAGTTTGCTTGCTTCAGCTCAAACACTCTGCTATGGCTACAATGAGGAGAGGCTCTGTTTCCATCTCCCCCCCCCACACACACACACACAAACATGGTAAACAATTCACTTGGTGAGGTACAAAGAATGAAAGGGCCTTCTCTGAGTCATGATGACAAGAAGAATTTTGCTTCAACCAATATATTCTTACAATCTGCCTCCAAATTACTACTTTTCTTTCATGGTGGAACATTATGGGACTGCCAAACATTCTTACTGCTGCTGCTGTTTCAACAGCAAGTAGACAGTTGTTATCCTACTGAAAATGTGGGCAATAGGCCTGGCCATTTTGTAATCCAGGAGTTTGAGCTAATAACCAGATGCTGTGATGCATTGCAAAGACAGTCCTTGCTTGCTCCTGAGTTGAGTTGAGATATTTTGAGACTATTTTGCTTTGTGTGATGTCAAGCCTTCAGCTGACAGCCAATATAGCCCTTGTTTGCATAAGCCAGAAGCACCAGCACCATTCTATTGGTGTTAACTGCTCTACCCTGAGGTGCCACAGCAGTACAATCTTCTAGGCATTTTTGCTACACTAATGCAGTAGAATGGTGCAAAACCTTGCAAAACAAAACAATAAAACGTATTGCAGCCACATGTGATATCCTTTGGGCATCTACCGAGCCCCCAAGACTTGACAGAGCTACAAGCAAGGCCACGTCCCATGGCTACTTGAAGCAAGGACAAGATGGTGCAAGAAGTGGCCTGAAGTAGTAGCTGAACACTAGTAAGTCAGTGCTAGAAGTAGGGTCAAGCTCTCTACATCACCTGAGGGAGGAATATGTGGCTCACACAACTCTGTCCTGTTGAAGCCCTTTGTGCTGAACATCAGATCAACCCAATAAAGTCTGATGACAGCAAGAAGTTGGATGAGTGGGTAGTTCTCTGCAAGATCAACAGAGAAGGGAAAGCATGCAAAGTTTTGAGCTACACTTGTTTGGTTGTGAAAGACTATGGCAAAGAATCTCAGGGTAAAGATGTCATTAAAGAATACTTCAAGGAGATGAACAAATAAAATGTATTTGAGCCTTGGAGGGGGGCAGGGAGACAAGGAAAAACCATCTGGCTCAGAAAGAAGAATTGGAGCTGCCACTGCTTCCCCTAGAACATTGAACTAGCTTGGGGATGTCATGCTTCACTAAATTTATTCTTAGAGGAAGCAATAGTTTCAAACATGTGGCTACCACTGAGCTATGGAATCTGTCCACCCAAAGGGTTATGAGATATGGTGCCATAGGCAGTGTTTTACTCAGAGGACTGCTTTAGAAACTGAGTTATGGTTCTAGCCTCCAAACACAGTTCAATAGTGTCATTTATACCCGTTCTCTCCTGGGAAAACACATAAAGCCATTACTGATATAGTGGTAAATTTTGAAGTGGATGTCATTTTCATGATAGTCCCTACAGCCATCTTCCCTAGCAAAGTTCTCAAGGCTGCTACTAGGCTTGTCATTGCCACCTATGCCAGCATAGTTACACTGGTTCACAGGATCATGGTCTCAGATACCTATGCTGATCATTGTTTGTCCAAACCACCATTAAATATTTTGCTTAACAATGGGAAGAACCCTGAGCAACATCTTGCTATGGGAAAAAATCCATTTTCCCTCCACCTACTTGACAATTAGGGGTTCCAAATCTCAGGGTTTGGCTCTGAGTTTCCATTTCCCATGAAATGATTGAACTTTTTAAATAACCCAAGGGTTGACAGAGAGTGGAGGGCAGGCCTGTTTTCTGCTGCCTCAGAGTCTAATGGTTTGAAATTACAGGAGGGTAGATTTCAATTGAACATTAGAAGGAATTTCTTGACAGTAAAAGTGGTTTGACAGTGGAACCAATTGGGGTTTCCTTCTCTCTGGACATCTTCAGAAAGAGTCTGGACACCTATCTGCTAGGGATGTTTTAGCTGGAGATCCTGAACTGAGGAGAAGGTTGGACTCAATGGCCCATGAGGCCCCTTCCACTTCTATGATTCTAAGGTTCTGGTGGTAAGAGAAAGAAGATAATGGAAGCCTAAGAGCCATTTATGGCTCTAGTCAGACATTGTTGTACACAGACAAAAAGCCAAAGGGGGAAATGAAAGCTCAGCTGGGTCTGTTGTGAACTCCACAGTCTGAGATTTGGCTGGAATATGTTTACCACCTTTGTTTCTGGCTCTAACTCACAGCTCTGTAAAGCACTCTGCCAATACAGCATTTGATGATGTATAGTTACAGCCATTCCCATTGTTTCCCTTGCTCTGTTTCAGTATAGAATAATACACAATTAATTGATTTTCTGTCGCTCTTTTAGTACAGAAAATTAATTTTGGAGCAACCTTGTTTTCTCAGGGTATGAATTCTCTACATGCTGAGTAATTCCACTCATACATTATTCATGAGTGAGAATAGTGATGGAGTGTGCAACTCAGGCAGCCCCCAGGGCCGCAAGCTGAGAGTCACTGCTCGTGATACAACAATATTCCACTGATACCTCTAAATAATTCACATCTACAACTCAATTTGGCACTGGATACAGGGCCCTGGATGTAACTGAGGAACAGAAGGAGAGAAGCACCTTGGCAGGGAATCATCAATGACAAAGCAAAGGAGGATATGTGCCTCTTCCTTATTTCTCAGAAAATCACAGAAGGATCTTTCATGTCTGGTGCTGGGACTGGTCCATACATGTCTCTGTGCTGCCCAGTTTTTTGCATACACAATCCTTGTTGATTTATTTTATATCCCTCCTTTCTCCCAGCAATGAATTTTATGGGGTATTTCCCACTCTTTGGGGAGCTTTTCCAAGAAAATGTGTTCCAGCTTTGTTCCTACTTTGTTATTTTGGAGATATGGGATCTTGGAAAAGTTACTTATTATAGAATCATATTATATAAAGCTTTAGAATCATAGGATGCATCTGCACTCAGAAATAATCTAGTTTGATACCACTTAACTGTCATGGCTCAATTTTATGGAATTCTGGGAAATGTAGTTTGTTATGACACCAGAACACTTTGATAGAGAGGGCTAAATGTCTCACAAAACTACAGTACCCAGAATTCCATAGCATTGAGTCATGGCAGTTAAGGTAGTATCAAACTGGATTATTTCTGTAGTGCAGATACAGACCTAAAGTTGTAAGGGGCCAGAAAGGCCCCTCTGCCATGGAGAAATACATAACTAAGGTATAACTGAGAGATGGTTATCCAAATTCTGTTTAAAAAAATATCCAGTCAATAAGTCCATCACCTTCTGAGAAAGTCCATTCCATTGTCCAACAGCTATTACCATCAAGAAGTCCTTCCTAATCTTTAGATGAAAAGTAATTAGTTAAAGTTATAGAAACAAAGAAAAAAAT